GAGAAGGTGCCCTCTCCCTCCATCCCTGCCCAGACCTCAGGCAGACACAGAGCCCCTGGACTCAGAGTGAGGGTATACAAGGCTTTATTGGCTCAGTTCCAGGCATTTGGCATCGTGTGGGGCTCTTGGCTGCTCCTGGGATCTGCCTCCTGGGTCTTCTCTCGGTGGGTCTTCAGGGACCTCAGGGTGTGTCGTGCTTTGCCTTCTGCCAGCTCTTCCTCCATCAGAGGCCATCCTCTTCTGCAGATTCCACTCATGATCTCTGTGGGGGGCTTGAGGAAGAAGGGATTTGGCAGCAGCATCTCACCCTGGGCCCAGAGGATTCCCAAAAGGAGGGAAAACAGGCCTGTGTATGTGGGCCAGCCCTGCTGGGGGAAGGGGTACATGGTTAGGTGCCTTCAAGAGTCACAGTTTTGGTGGCTGCGACTGGGCACGCTATGGCTCTGGTGGCTTGGGTGACCTGAATGGTTCTGCTGGCTTAGGTGACCTGAATGGCTCTGCTGGCTTGAGTGACATGAATGGTTCTGCTGGCTTGTGTGAACTGAATGGCTCTGGTGGCTTGGGTGACCTAGAAGACCTTGGTGACTTGAGAGGACTGGATGGTTCTGGTGGCTTGGATGACCTGGAAGACCTTGATGGCTTGGGTGGCCCAGATGACCCTGGTGGCTCGGGTAAACTAGATGACCATGTTGGCTTTTGTGGCCAGGACGACCCTGGTGGCCATGGTGACTGTGGCCACGGAAAGTGTGTGGGTGGTTGGCCCCAGCGATGGTGTCTTCCCTCTGGGCGAGGAAATTCACTTTCAGCTTAATCTCCACCTCCTCAAGGGCCTTCAGTTCCTCTGGGGTGACATCCTTGGCCTCCAGGTGGCCTGAGTGCTGGTAAGCTGTGGCTCGCTGCAGCATAGAGTTAGCCAGGCGCTGCCCCTTCGTATCAATCTCCTTGGTACAAGCAACCACGGCAGCCCATATGGCCTCATCTGTGGATGAGGATTTTCCAGATTCTTTGAGGATCTCTTTGGTCACCGAAGGCCCACACATCTTCTGCTTGCTGGTGAAGGACTCCCTGTGCATAGCTGTGCCCTCCTCTCCTTGCTTGGTGGTAATAGTCTCCATGCGAATAGTGGTGTTGGCCTCTCCACTCCCACTCCCAAAGCATTGGGAGGCATTGTTGTTGACACCGACACATTTGGTGGAGACCAGCTTCTCGTCAGAAAGGCGGCTAAAATGAGATTTGATCCAGCTGTCATTCGCTTTGCGGCATTCTGGTGACTCATTTCGTGGAGACTGAGTGGATGTCTTCCTTCTCCTTTTTCTCTGAGTCCACAGAATAAGGCCTCCGCCTCCAAGCAAGAGGATAGTTCCCAGCACCACCTTGCATGATGGTTGCTGGATGAACTCCAAGAAGGTCTCCAGGACCCTACTCCCAGCAGCAGAGCTAAGAGCACTGCTGAGCTAAGAGAAACAGTGGGGGAGCCCAGGTGGTATGGCTCATGCTTGAAAGAGCAGGCTCCCCACGGGCGTCTGGCAGGCAGGCCCTGCTGCACCCTCCCTAGGATGCCTCCTGCCACCTCAGCAATAAACCCCATTGTGAGGAAGGCAGCTGGGGGTGGGGTGGGGGGAGGCCACCACATCCCTCATGTCTAGCCTGGTAGGCATTGTTTAAGGCCTGGGTCCTTTCTCCTGTCCTGGCATCTGTCCTCAACATCAGTGGAAGGGCAACTTTTCCGATGTAACCCATTCTGCTAGCTACCAGTCCTTATCTTCCAATCTTTGGTTTCTCTCCCTCCCCAGCTGTTGGCCCCCAGAGGGCAGAGGTTGCTTGGTCAGACTGGTCATGGTAGAAAGAACCCCTTGGCTAGGCTGGCATTCATTTTGGCCCACCGAGATTGGTGTCTGCCTCTATGCAGGGCTCATCTCTGCTGCCAGCTCAGCACATTCCATTCCTGATTGCAGCTCCATCCCCACTAATGGCAGAGTCCAGACAGAAAAGGGCCCAGGAAGGGGCTCATTCTGGAATAACGTGAGGTCACAAATGGGGGGAGACAAGCAGTGGACTGAGAAGGCAGAGCAGAGAGGAGACTTCATTGCGACCCAGATTCTTGGGGCCATTATGGGTGGTGGGATGCCTTTTCCATAATTGCCTGCCAAATCCTGAATAATTCCCATGGCTTGTCACAGTAGAAACAGGACTGGGCCACAGTCTATGCCCCACCCAAAGGCATCTAGCACATTTATAAAATGAAGAAATGCCAAAATGGGCTTGTAAAAGTTGTGACATTTTAAACAAACTATTTTCTTTAACAGAGTAATGGTCTTGATATATATAAAAATATTTCATCTTTCACAAGAAACCATGGTCCGCTCTACATATGGAGGGAATAAGATACAATCTTAAAGTTTTATAGGGAACATCATCTCCCCAGTTTTGCTAGAGTAGCTCTGTGGTTGTTCACTAACTTTAATTGGAGACAACAATTCAAAGTCCATCTTCAAAGTTGTTTACTGTGAGTTCAGGGTCAAATGGCTCTTCTGAACAACCCCTCCCTCCAGTCTCTGGTTATAACATTTATTTCAAAAGAAAACTCTGTATTCATATTTTCAGTACAAATTAGCAATGCTAAAAAAAAAAAAAAAAAAAAGAGCTACATAGTTTCCAATAGGACCTTCCAGAAGAATCTCTAACTAATGTTCATGACACATCCAGGACAAGTTCCCACCTTCTCTCTCTTTCTTTTTAAATCTTTTTTTAAAATTGTAGATGAACACAATACCTTCATTTACTTATTTTTATGTGGTGCTAAGGGTCAAACCCAGTGCCTCACACTTGCTTGGCAAGCGCTCAACCACTGAGCCATAGCCCCAGCTCCTCCCACCTTCTCTTTAGAGGCCTTTGTTGAAGACGCCTTACAGTGTGACAAGTGATGGCTGCCTGTTCTGCCCCTGCATATTGAACTGCAAAGTCTATTCCAGAACAGGGCAAGGGAAACTGACTTTAGGGCTTACATGGTCTTGTCCTGGGAGCAGTGACAAGACACTTCAGCTTTGTGTTCCCTGTTCCAGTGCTCCAAGGTAGAAGAATATGTTGAAACCTGTGACCAAGAACCTGAAGGCTCAGCTCCCAGTTCTAAAATGAGGAAACTGGACTAGAGAAATTAAGCAATTTCTCAAGTCTCTGTAATGGCCAGAGCATGAGTCCCTCCCAGGACTTCTACTTCCAGACCCTGGACTCCCTCTCCCTCAGGCTCTGTCTCCCTGGAAAGGGGCTGAGGGGCATCCAACAGGAGCAGAAGCCTATATGCCATATTCACTGAGGCCAGGGCACCCATTCCTGCTGTGAGAATGGGTGGGTCGATGGAAGGGAGGGTCCAGAGGAGAGCTGTAGGGTTCTCATAGTCTGTGGGTTCTCTGGGTGGCAGGCAGACACCAGATGTAAAATCCACCCTCCCAGCCTTGAACCTTGAAGCTGAAGCACAGTCATCTGTTAGAGGCTGAGGAACTTCCTGCTTTGCTTCAAGGGAATCAGACACAGCCCAACTTGCAGTGAACAAGCCTCAGCATATATTTACCTAGAGTTGGTATCCCTGCTCAATGTGGGCATCCACAAAGCACTTGTTGTCCCCTGGGGAAGGGTCACATCACCTCTGCCCTTAGCAATGAACGGAGTCTCAGTTGGGCCACTGGACACTGTCACAAAGCAACTTTGCCAATCACACTGCTATTTTAATAATCATCATTATAGAAATCGATACATTCTCATGTCTAGCACCCTACAGTTTACAACATGCTTTCACTTGTATTCTCTCAGATTTTTCTCCCAACCATGCCATGATATGTGTATTATCACTCACCTGTATCAGATGCAGAAACAGAGATTTAGAGAGATTATCCCATAGTAAGTCAATGGCAAAGCTGTGATTGGAAACCAGAGTCCTTGGTCTTAACTGTTACTCTGTACTCCTTTTCTGTTGATACCGAGGATTAATCCCAAGGGTGCTCTACAACTGAGCTACATCCCCAGCCCTTTTTATTTTTTTAATATATTTTTTAGTTGTTGATGGACATTTATTTATTTACTTGTTTATATGTGGCACTGAGATTCGAACCCAGTGCCTCACACATGCTAGGCAAGTGCTCTACCACTGAGCCACAACCCCAGTCCCCCTTTTTATTTTTTGAGACAGGGTCTCACTAAGTGCCCAGCAGGCCTTGAACTTGTGATCCTCCTGCCTCAGGCTCCCTAGTTGTGGACATTCTAGGGATGTGCAGTTATGCCTGATTGGTGCCACACCATTCCCAAAGCTGGTGCCCACCAGATGCCACTTGTTGAGAAAGTCTGGTCTAGTGACTTAGAAGGGGTGATGGGGTGAGTAGAAAGAAATGGAGCATGGGCCACGCAGTTAGAGACAATTCAAAACCCAGCCCAGCTATATCAGCTGAGTGATATTGGGCAGTGACCATGTCTCTGAGCCCCAGCTTCCCATGTATGACACAGTGCTACTGAGAGTACTGTCCAGGGATTGCCCTGGGTGATGGATGGGCAGACGGGCAGGGCAGCCAGGTTTTGCTATTTTGTTCTACTTCCACTTATGCCACTGTAGCTGTGTGGCATGTTGAATGTCACAAATATGATCTGATCCTTGATCTCAGAGAAGAGGAGACCAATGTAAAGGGGGAGATGAGTCAGAGGAAATAGCACAATGAGCACTAACTCTTGCCAAGGGAGGCTTTGCCCAGAAGAGAATGTGCAAACAGGCTTTGAGGAGAAGGAGACGCCCCCCTGGCTGGGCTGCCACATGATCTTCCTTACATCAGCACATGGGGCCCAGTTGACAAGGACGTTCACACCTGTCATCCAGTGTAATCCCCACAAGAGCCCTGAGAGCTACCAAGGAACTTCAGTCCTTTTCAGTGCCTCTGTACAGAAGCAGGCGAGGTTCAGAACCCATCTACACCCTTGGTCTCTGGCTCCCCACCCCCACAGTGGACAGGCCTGCTTACCTCGGAAAGGGATGGTGCCCATTTTGTACAGGTTCTCCTCCAGCTTCCCATAGTCCACCTCTGCGGTGGCAGTGAAGGGGGTCGTCACAGGGGGATAGATGCCTGTAATGTCCATCTTCCTCCCATCCCCTGAGGCCCAGCCCTTCACATTCCTGGATAGGCCCCTGCTCAGCCCCTGTTTCACAGAGGCCCAGACCCGGGGGCCCAGCATCTCCATAGGAGGCCTGGGGCCCAGCTGTTCTACGGCCCTGAGCAAGGCTGAGTTTAGACTCCTTTCTACCTGCTATTAATGATTAATGGGTCTAGTTAAAAATTTGTGGCCTCTCCTGCCTTGTGGGCACTGGACAGTCTGAGGGTCTTGCCCTAGGGTAAAGGGCAATACCCTCAGGTTTCAGAGAACCTTTTATCTCTGCTGGGGAGCAGCTGGAGAAATGTCACAGTGCCCCTCTGACTGCCCTGGGTCCCACTAAAGGGCGTCTCTAGCCCATCCTCCTCCATAATTCCCAGCCCTGAAGCCCGGAGCGCTGCCAGTTTCCAGGCAGTTTCGAGGCTAGTGAAGCTGATTGGCTGAGCTGGCCAGGCCCTGCCCTGCGGGAGGGAGGTGCCACACACCAAGTGAGAAGCTTCCAGTAACAAGCCGCCTCACTCCCCTGCCAGGCTCCTCCTGCCAAGGAGGCCGTGTGTCAGGCCTGTGCTGGCTGTACACAGCTCCACAGGGCAGAAGTCACCAGGAAGGGGCCAGGATGAGCATATCAAAGAGCTGACCTGTGCATGGGCAAAGCCTGACTCCCAGGGATTTGGGAAGAGGCAGAAAAATAGGGTGACAGGATAGAAGCACGGAGAATCCACAGAAGGAAGGCTTCCAATTCTCCTAATCCCCAAACCCATCTTTCCCCCGAGTCTGTATTCCCCAATATTTTGAACACAAATGGAAACAAACATCACAAATAGCAAAATGAACTTTTTTATTGTAATCGTTGGTGAGTGCTCCCGGATTATGCAGGAGGTGGCTGGGTCCTCAGTTAGCTCTTGGGGCCATTCTGTGACCATCTGGCTGCACAAGGGAGGAGCCAGGTGCCTGGCTGGGCTGTGGCAGCCATTTATTGGGCTGGCACAGGCTGGGGAGTCTGGCGCCCACTCCCAGGCCCCTCTAGCCCGTTCTGCTCTGAGCCAGGCTCCGGGTGTTCCAGGGCGTGCCGGGTGTCTGCCTGCCATAACTGCACCAGGTCCGTGGGGGTCTTTCCTGCCTGGGGAGGACCACGAGGAGATCTGTTCACGGTTCGGAAGTCTACCAAAAGGTGCCCTCAACTACATCAGTGGTTCTCAACTGGGGCCACTGGACACAGTGAAGATATTTCAGTGGTCACAACTGGGAGAGTGGGGACTTCTGGTATCTAGTGGGCAGAGGCCAGGGACACTGCTTAAATTCCTTCAATGCTTAGGATAGTCCCCCCACAACAAATTACCCAGCCCCAAATGTCAATAGTACTGAGGTTGAGAAACACCCATACCTTCTCCATATCTTCCTTCTTATAACTTCTTAGTCTTCCCTGTATCAAAGGGACCCTCCTATGCCCCTCTATATTTGATTGTTCTGGGCCCCATAGAAGATGCGTTTCTGAGGGTCAAAGTCCAGACTCTTGGATCTTCATCCACCCTCATTAAACTCAAGCACCACCAGAAACTAGCACAGTGTGCTAGGAATGGAGGGGCCAAGCAAATGCTTAAGTTCCTTTCAGCTCTCTCCTCTGTGACCTTGGTCCTCCTGGGGCCTGCATGTGAGAATGTCCTGTGGACTACTGGGGACCTTTGGGAAGTCTTTTTACTGTTTCTCTTGTCCTCTAGATTCTGCCACACAGAGAGGGGAAAGTGGTAGTTGGAATGGCATTCTGAAAAGGACATCTTCAAGTACTGTACCAATGACCAGAATCAATGATCTGTATCCCTAGGCTGGGACTGCCCCAGGGTCCCCACAGACCCTCCACTGTGCAGGTGCTCAGCCCAATCACTGACTCAGGGAAGGAAGGGACTTACCAGGTTCTTGCACATCATATCAGCTCCATGCAGGATCAGCAGTTTGATGATTTTGTAGCGGTTGAGCCTCACAGCATCGTGTAGGGCACTGTCCCCTTCCTAGAAACAGTGTAGCACTAAACATGACCCTTGGGGAGGAGCAGCAGATGGGGAGCAGGGTGACAGAAGGTGGGCTGGAGACCCTACTCAGGAGCCACAGTCTGGAGGGTTCCCCAGGGCCACTCGCCTGGAGGAATGCATGAGCTGCCCACATAGCCATGGTGGGGCAAGCCAGCGGGAGGCCAGCACTCACTCTGTCTCTGGCATTGATGTCCAAGCCCAGGGATAGGAAGTGTTCCACAATCTCCACATGCCCCGTGCGGACCGCCACGTGCAAGGGAGTGCTCAGCAGCTGCATGGGAGGAAGCAGGATGTGCTGGCTGAGGGGCCTGGACTGTGATGTCCAGGGGTTGACGGCTATACTGATTGTAGCTTGAGCCCTCCCCCATGTCCTAGTGCCAAGGCCTGAGCCCTGGAAGGGCAGGCAATGAAACAGTTTCCCACCATCCTATCCAATAGTCCAACTCTAAAGCCTTACGTGCCACCTCCTCTAAAAACGCTCTCTGATTCTCCTCTCGCTGAGCTGTGGGCAACCATTCACTCCTCCACTCTTATTATTTATTTATTTATTATTATTTTGCAGTACTGGGGATTCAAACCAGGGCCTTGAACACGCTAGACAAGCACTGTACTGCTGAGTCTGTCCTCAGCCCACTCTTCTTCAAATACTTATAAAGATGCCACTTGTTGGAAGATGGTTGTGTGGTAGGCATGGCAGAAACTTACAAAGCATTAGCTGTATGTTGAATAAATAATTCACTTACATATATTTGCCCACCTAATCTACACAAGAACCCTTTTACAGATGAGGAAGAGAGGCTCAGAGGTCCAGTTACTTGTTCCAGTTACCAGTGAAGGACAAATGAATGGAAGGAGGGTAGATTAACAAATAAATGAAGAGACGAGTAAATGGATGGATGGATGGATAAACAAATAGAAGAGTGATGAAGGATGGCATGGGATAACAAATCCCAAGTCTCCTGTACTCCCTTCTTCTCTACTCTTTGGTCTCCATCCCTAGATGTGGTTCCTCAAGGGGCAACTGCTCTGAGGCCACTCTAGAAACTAGACAAGTTCACTACTTTTCTGCCACCTGCCCTTTGCCCCCTGCCCTCTTCCCTGCAGTCACCCCAGCATCTACTGCACCTGAGCACTGCTGCCGTACCTTATCCCGCACATTGGTGTCTGCTCCTCGGCTTTGCAGGAGTTTCACCACCTCCAAGTGGCCTCCGCGGCAGGCCCAATGCATGGCTGTGCAGTCCAGCTAGAAGGGGAGGATGGGGCTTAATTGTAGAGCTGCAGGGAAGACATGTCTTGGGAGAAAGAACCCCAGCCAAGAAAGTGGAGGGACATCCAGGGGAAAGGTACAGAGAGTGGGCAGAGACACTGTGGGCAGTGGAACAGAAGAGCCCTTAGGGCCCATCTAGTCCAAGCCAGTTAGGAAGGAGATGGGACTCGCCCAATGCCATACAACCTACTAGAGGTGGCACCTGGCCCCTGAGCCCCGCTATTGTGTCCCAGCTTGGCTTCCATTGTCAGGGAGAGGAGGTCTATTGGTATAGGACCAGCTCTGGCTTCCCCTACCCCCAATACCCACCCTCTCACTCACCCGGTCCTGGAAGTCCACGGTGGCCCCACTTTCCAGAAGCTTCTCTAATATCTCCATGTGGCCCTCCAGGGAAGCTCTGTGCAGTGCTGTCCTACGGAACTGTCCCCAGAGAGGCTGTGAGGCCTTGTCCTCTGGCCCCAGGTCTGAGCCCACCTCCCACCCAGACTGAGGCCTAGGCTCTGCTGCAACTCAATTCTGACCCCCTATGCTCAGTCCCCTTCTCCCCCCACCCCCGTGTTTTGTAGCTCCTCTCCAGATCAGCCTTAGAGCCCCTGCCCTTCTCACCCTTGGAGATTGACCTTCTTGCTGGCCCCAGCATATCCTATACCTTTGCAGGGACCAGTCCCTCTGCTGGGAATGTCCGTTTTGCCCTCACTTTCCCTGATGAAAATCCGCTACTCCTTCAAAATATGGCTCATGTGCCATTATTTCCTTTGAACCTCTAGGCAGAGTTGCCTCTAGGCTCAGCTGACCCTTGACCTTGAGCATTGGAGGGTAGATGGAGTCTCGCTGGACTCCATTTCCCAAAAGTGCTGAGCACAGTGTTGGAGGGTAGGTTGCCCTGGTTACAATTCAGGGAAGGAAAGGACTTCCTCCCTCCTGTGCAGCCACTTTCCTCTTTGGACTTTGAAACACTGGGGCCATGCATGACTTTCCATATGCTAAGATCCAGTTCTGGGCACTCTTCCACCACTCTCAACCCTTGTTTTTTTTTTTTTTTTTTTTTTTATTCCAAGCACCTAGTAGATAGGAGGTGCTTGGACAGACAAAAAGGATTAAGGCCCTAGAGGCTTAAGAACAGAAAACACATATTAAAATCTATAGTAATGCAGACCAAAGGTAGGTGACCATTAATGCTTAGTCCCAGTATATGAGAATAAGGGGACCCTTACGAAGTATAAAGAGGCAGCTTCAAGGAAAACAAAATAAACATGACGGGTGATGGAAACATTTTTAAAATAGATGGGAGGCGGGTGCAGTGGCACCTGCCTGTAATCCCAGCTGCTTGGGAAGCTGAAACAGGAGGATTATAAATTTGAGGCCAGCCTGGACAATTTAGGGACACTCAGTCTCAAAATACAATTTTAAAAGAGTTGGGACCAAGCATGGTGGTGCATGACTCTAGTCCCAGAGACTTGGGAGGCTGAGGCAGGAGAATTTTCAGTTTGAGGCAATTTAGTGAGACTTTTGTCTCAAAATTTAAAAATTAAAAGAAAAAAAAAAAAAGACTGGGAGTGTAGCTCAGTAGTAGCGTGTCCCTAGGTTCAATTCTCAGCACCACAAATTAATTCATTAATTTAACTTAATGAAAAAGAGCTAGAGATATAGCTGGCTGGTAAAGTGCCCCTGGGTTCAACCTTCAGTACTGTAGAAATACAAAGAGATGTTGGTGATGTTTGCACAGCTTTTTAAGTGTAATTAATGCCACTGAAGTTAGACATTAAAATGGCATATTTCATGTTATATTTTAACCCAATAAAATAAT